TGGGACCTCATTTCACTTACCTCGGAAGGATGGAAGGCTGAGATAACCTTGAGCCGGTGAGATTAGAACCACTGAACTGCAGATAACAGTCAGCTGAAGTGGCCTGCAGTACTGCACCCTAACCACTGCGCCACCTCGGCTCCTTAGATTAGGTTAGTGAAGATAATAGTTAAGACACACTCCATTTAAAATTGTCTTTAGAACTATATATGTCTCATTTAAGCTAATACCAGTGTGAATAGAGAAAAACGGGACGTGGAGAAACTTCCTAACAGGGAGGACAATTAAGTTAACAAGACGGGGGGGGGGGGCGCCCTTAAGCCACCAGCCACATGCTGAGTTGCATGCCACTGTTGTGTCCCCACAGTAGTTGACAGACAGGTCTTAACACTCTTCCAAAAAGCCAGACGATTTATGCCAACCTCACCGCAAGGGTGAGATGTTCCATGGGGCAGAAGCTACCAGTTTTAAACTTTTCAGCCGATGGGCTCTACTGCATGCCCTTGGGACGGGTTGATGTAATTGGAATGAGATAGTTCTTCAGGTAGCTATGAAGTGCTTTAAAAGTGATAAACAACCTCTTTAATTGGACCCAAAGCAAACCGGCATCCAACTCCCCAGCAATTGTGTTACAACACGAGGGGTCCAAAAACTGCCCCTGTCGCGCACACACACACACGCGCGAGAGAGAGATATGATCATCATCACAAAATCAAGAGTCACAGAATAATACAACGGTTGAATATATTTATTTTACCAAGAAAGCAACTGCCAGTTTTTAAACAAACCAAGTGCTTATTTATCCACAGGTCAGAATAATAGAAATCTTAATTTGCATTTCAGCAGTGAGAAATATAAGGCAGGATGAAACCGACTGCCTCTGAGCACAGATCCAAATTGGGATCACACTGTCCCAAGGGAGGGTGGCTGTAAGGGTTAAAAGAAAAGCGAGTCCCCCCCGCTGGCCACTTTGCTCGGAGCTCCTTAGCAATGCCACCACAAGGACACAAAGTGTAAGTGTTACGGGCCCCGGGACCAATTTCCCCAGAGCAGCAACTGGTTGCCAAACTGTAGGCAGTGCCACTCAATGCACAACCAATTGTCTGTCCCATTATTTATTTCGCCAGCTCTCCTTTATCCTCCCAGTGCAGCATAATTTCTTCCAAACCTCTCGTAGCATCTCTGATCACACTCTCCCACCTGCTGTCTCCATACAGGCCACACAACTACTGTGTTTCACCCTGTGCCCTTTCATTTGTCAGCATGGCACAACAGAAAACCAAGCTGAGAGGTAGGAAAAGTACAGCCAAGCAGTCAAGCCCCTCTGGAGAACTTATCACCGAGAGAGAGCAGCACCTGAAGAAGGAACATGCCACCCTGACAGAGCATATCAAGACCTACTCAGATCGAGTGGATCACTTTCAAGATGAAAATGAATTTCTGGACAAGGAAGCCCAGGAAATCCAAGAAAACAGCAAAGCTTACCTCTCCTACTTGGCCAAACGCACTCTCCTGTGCCACAGCGCCATCATTTCCTTACATGACCAGAACGAATCGGATCTGGCCTCTATCCTGGAGCAGAAGGAGGAGCTGATCTCGCAGTTCAAAGAAAGGAAGAAGGAGGTCAGGAGCCAGTTGATTGAGATGGAGACCAAGTATTCCCTCATGAACAAGGAGGTTGACGAACTGAGGCCCTTCAAGGAGCTTCAGTCGGACCAGCTCGCCCGTATCCGGGAGCTGGAGAAAGACCTGCTAGCCATGAAAATCCACCATTCTGAGCAAATGCACACCGTGAAGAGCCAGTTCCTGCAAAAGAAGGCGGAATATGAAACGGAGTCCCAGCAGAAGGTCCAAGCTTTGGCCAAAAGGGCCGAGAAGGAAGCTGTGCGCAGCCTCATCCAACACACCAAGCAGATCAAAGCTGAGAACGGGAGATTGCGCAATGAACTGCTGAACCTCATCAAGAGAGCCCAGGGCCTAAAGGCCATTCTGCGTCAGCTGCAGGAGCAGAAAGGGCAGCTTCTTCAGGAGCTCCAATACAGGGAAGATTTGGGCCATGTACACTGCTGGCTAACTCAGCAGAGCAGAGCCAGGGGCAGGGCCAGCCTGCCTGCCAGGGCTCAGGGAGGGGTTCCTCTCCAGCTACCGTCTCTCCCAAGTCTCCAAAGGCCAGCAAAGACTCCGTCAACCACTCAGACGCAGGAGACCAGCGTGGGAGAACCACAGCGCCCGTAGCAGGAAGGGCTTAAATGGCAGCAGCAGGAAGACTGGCAGAGCCCTGACACGGACCCCGGAAGCGGCTTACGCGCGCTGCCTCCTTGATTGAGGGAGAAGACAAGGGGGTAGCCTTTATCTGCCTTGGCAAAGTGGGGTAACAAGGGTGTTCTGCTTTTCACCTTTACAGCTAAGGCTAAAATAAAAGTAAGAATTCCAAAAGCCACGGTATGTCATCAGTGGCGGAATTAATTCATATATTTGGGCACCTGCAGAGGGATAAAAAGGGGCAAGAAGATCTAAGTGCAATACAATTTTTGTGTGTGTTGGGGAAGAATAGTTTGTGCAGTTCAGGATGTGGGAGCTTTACAGAAATCCGGTCTCTTAAATGTCATTTAAAATAATGAATTTCCACAGATCTAGGACTGGGTTGATAGCAGTGTTGATTTGTGGTATCGTAATATGGATTTGCCTTCCTTGGGCTCAAATTGAGATAAATTTTTTTTTAATTATAGATCGTCCTTAACTTCTGATTCCTTGTTTTATAACCATTCAAAATTATGGTCACAGAATCGATACTTTATGACTCACAAATACCCCAGACATTAAATGGTCCCAACCCCTCCCCCCATTGTCACATTTTTATTTTTTTGCTGGTTTCCAGCTTTCTTTCTTTTTTGCTGCTTCTGGCCAAAAGCTCCTATTCAACAAGTCTTTTAACAAAACAGGCCAGAAACCTTCTTCTTCTAGTCCCACGGCTGCCTCAATGGACTCTTCCCAATCCCAATTACCATCTTAAGCAGAGGGTTACCTTCATCCGAGCACTGACTTTTGAGACACCAAAAGTGTTTTATTAATTAGGAGGGCTGTTAATGACTAATCAGATCTATGGCGGTAGAACTGAGACTCCTTTGATGAGGAGCATCCTAGTCGTCCAGTCCAGTCCAGGGACTCCCAGAAGAGAGGAGCTGCAGACAGACAAGGCTCGCCTAGAGAACAGATGGCAAAGACGTGCTTGTTCTGTAGGGCCTTGGAAAGCAAGGCTGTGTTGCCAGTTTGGTGGAGGGATTCAAGGCGCTGGACTAGAATCCAGATCATATATTCCTGCAATAGACAGAAAACCAGCTGCATTATATTGAGCTGGCCGTCGTGAGCCCTAGGAAGAACACAATGGAAGCCACGTCTGAGCACTGTGGATAGAAAAGCTGCAGGGAGTTGATTATGTAGCCACCAGCTGTGAAGATTGACTTGTACCAAAATAAATGATCAAAACCCCACATAATTTATCAAGAGTTAATTGTGCTACACTGATCACACTGATTTTATCTCGTTTTTTGGTCCAGTGACTTTCTTAATAGATTATTAAATATATATGGGATTCAGCAAATCTTTTCCTAAGTTATACCATTACATGCTGGTCAGCAAGCTTAGTTAAGCTTTGGCTGGAGGGTTTGACCTCTTGAGTAGCTGCCTCAGAGGCAGCAATCGAATGCTTACAAGCAGCTCTTATCGAATGGGAGAAACGCAACCAGTCTGGAGCCCAAGTCCAAATCCTCCAGTTTTTCATACTATTACAGATGTCGTGATGGGAAAAATACCTAATTTGCAGATTGTGTGCATTTCTAGAAATAGGCTAGAGCTAATGGAATTTAACATATTGGGGGGGGGGGCACCACTATGGAGAAACACAGCAATATTTACACCTGCATCATTGTAATTAGAAATAAAATACAAGCAGAACAATTTATTAGTACTTAATAACATATGCTTGATTCGACGCTCTAGGAGAGAATGAACACATACAAATACATGTAACATACAAATAGCATTTAAAAGGCCGAATTAAGACAATGGTTTTCCATCGGCCTCGGTCTCCTCCTCTGCATCAGAGAACCTCATTCTGCCACCATTGGTCTGGAGCTGCCTGCCAGGCGTTCAATCAAGTACGGGAGGCGAAGTCCGCACTGAGCTTCCTCATTATGGCCCCGTGGCTCAGGCCCTGCTGAGAGTGTTTCACGGAACTGTAGTTTTCCTTCACGTATTTTGCAAATGGAGCGAGTGGGGCTTTGGCCGGGGTGCCATCTTTGAGCTTGGGCTGGCAAAGCTCCAGCTGCCCCTTGCAAAAAGCACAGACAAAGCGCTGTGTGTCCAGGGATTTGGAGTGGCGCCCAATTCTGAAAGGCAAACACAAGGTGTCTTTGAAGACAGAAATCTGCAAAGGAGAGGCGACGGCGGCATGCATTGACAGCTGAAATTATAGAAGCAAAACCTTCAGAAAATAGGTTTATTATCTGACTGATTCCCAGGTGATTGAGCACAAACTATTAACATCTCCAGCATAAACAATAGCCCTCAAAAACTCTATGCATAATTCTATCTTGAAAATACTGTAAGCTGTGAGCAAGAACCAATCACCTATCCTTAATACTATCTTTACAGTCAACCTGTAAAATTCTACTACCTACAGGTGAGCAGGCAGGTGGCCACAGCGGGCACTGTGGAGGGCTGGAGAGTATGCAGAGCATGGATAGATGGGTACCACAAGCGGTAACCAGGTGGGCGAAAAAGTAGCAGGGGAAACGAATGAGTATTCAAGCCACCTGGTGGGATTCTCTGGTCTTCAGCCTCAAAACTGCTGCAGACGACAACACTTTGTGGCTCTCTGGTTCTCCCGTGCCAGCAGTTTGCTGACTTCAGGGGAGAAAGCCAGTCTTCGCTTTGAAACCTTCCAATGCCCTCTTTTCCATGCGAGATCGTATCTCAGCTGTGCCGAGTATTAAAAAAAGAAAACATATCCAACGCGGAGCCTCTTGTAGCTAAGGCCCATAATCACCTGGATCAATTCACAGGTTGAACTCCTGAGCTGCCTCCCCTTCCAAGGGAAGGATCCCCAGGGCCCAGCGCCTGGGGACACTCCAACCTCAACCCTCTTTAGCTCCTACCGCAATTCTAACCATTTCAACAGGCAGCCAAGAAAAGGATCAAGATATCCCAGTTTCAGAAAAGCACAAGGCACACATTCCCCATACATTTAACATTTCAAAATGATACAATTGAAATGGACTCCCGTCTAAATAAAGCAGGTGAGTGGAGCTATTGGGAGAATGATTTACCAAATAGCAGATGATGCAGCACCCGTCAGTTAAAAAGAAAAAGTACTGCTAGGCGAAAGGAAATTCTCCACTCACGTGTTTTTGCACTGTAAGCACTCATAAGTAAACTTGTATTTTATCTCATAGTTGTGGCACCGTGAGACCACTGGGAGCTCCGGATGAATCGTAGCAGACTTCTTGGCATATAAATTCCAGAATCGCCCGTGCCCGTCTCGAACACCGTGGATCAACCACGTCGCCGCATGACACAGTTCGTGGATGAGGGTGTCTCGAAGTCGATCTAACCGTGGCATGAAATAAGAGAGCAATGGAACTTCTCTGTAGGTCTGTGTGCCATCATGCGCTTTGCTCCGAGTCCAAGCATAAAACCTTAACTCTGCCAGGCAAGTATGGAAGTCCCAACTGAACTGACCTATTCTTATTCGTGCCTCAGCACAGGAATCTACTCAACTGACGCTTAGTGATATTTTAACACTGGGTGACGGTCAGCAGAATCCAAGAGGTGTCGGACTTAGTTTGTAGCTACATAGCGACTCTAGGCTGATTCCTCTTTTGACTCCGTCCCCAGGTTCCCCCACTCCCTCTCCTACAATCATGTTCCCGTTAATGCTTTATACTGGAGCTGAACATTTAGCCAAGAAATGCCATTAAAAACCACCATCTAAACTATATAGGATACGTGATATCCTTATAAGGTTTAAGGTTTCTCCTGTTTGACTAGAGTCGTGTTTGACTCTAAGGAGGCAGTGTTCATCTCCGTCTCACGGCCAAAGAGCCAGCGTTGTCTGAAGACATTTCCATGGCCATGTGGCCAGCATGGCTGTATGCCAGAGGCACAGAGAACGGTTACCTTCCCACCTAAGTGGTACCTGTTTATCTACTCGCTTTGGCCTGTTTTCCGACTGCTAGGTGGGCAGAAGAACTAGTAATATAGTATCTTTATTCATACAAGCAATACAAGGATATTGCTAGTTTAATTCCATGAAACGATAAGCGGCCAATTTCCCCCAGTTGGCCTGATTTCTTGCCACTATTTATTAAGAACAAAAATTGATCAAGGTAGGTGAGGCTCCCAGTACTGCAGAAGAGCTAAAGGTTGCTTCAATTTAGAAGGACAACTACTTGGATGCTCCTGTACAACCCTCAGGAAGTCCAATTCGCATAAACATTGGAATGGGCAGGGGGGAAAAGGGGAACAGGTAATGTAAAAAAGCCAAATGGCTTGGACAATTGTCCAAGTTGTATTAAAAGAAGAAATCTGCAACTCTTCCTCTCCCTGCCTCCCTCTACCATTCCTGGACGATAAGGAATCAGAGGAATGGTTTTCAATTTCACGCCAAAAACACGGCTGAAACTTCAGAGGGGAAGTCTCTTTCTAGAAGAGCCGAGGTGGCGCAGTGGTTAAATGCAGCACTGCAGGCTACTTCAGCTGACTGCTAGATCAGCAGCTCAGCGGTTCAAATCTCACCGGC